ATTATAATCATTATTATAGAATGTTCAAACTAACGAACCAATTTGGCCTGCATCGATGGTGACTCATCAGTAGGTTCTGGTGGAATATACCAATTTCCTTTACTACTTCTGTGTCGTGCTGTATATATTGCACTTGGAAGTACAGTGTAAATGACGAGAAACGCTGGTATCCCAGCAATCCTAGAAACAGAAATACCATCTAGTCTTCTATCATATCAGAAATTTGTAGTACAACAGAAACATTAAAACTCACACATCAGCTAAACTAAGTGCATTAAAGAAAGCTGCCTAAAATACGAAAACATAATGAAATTCATCAATAAACCGGAAAACAGTATTTACAATGAACTATCTACGATAAATCTCACCCAATCCGGAGGCAAATACGAAGTAATTGCAATGCCAAACATTATTTCTTTTAATTAGATTTTAAATTTTGTAAGTTGTAGAGATGAAATCATTCGGGTTTTTATATGTCCATTTTTGGAGCGTTGCAAACATGTGAATATATACATCATGCAACCTTATTAATATAGTAATCATCCGCATCAATGTAATTATTCCACGCGCGAAAATATGAAATTGACAGTTAAGACGGTATCGTAGTATAAAAGTTAATACAAAAAGTGTTTTGTTGAATTTACAGTACCATGATAAACAAGTTCATTCAAGGATTTCCTAAAGAAATCCACCCAAATTTGGTATTTCTGAGGCAAGAAGCTTACTAATCTTTACTAATCTTTGATTTTTATAACAAATCGATTGTTCCTAGTTTTGCTAATGCTAATTCTGAGAAAATCATTGTAACCGCTGGATCCGTAGTGAAAAGTATAGATATTGTACAATGAACTTGACAAAATATATGTAATATTGAAAATTACATCACATGATCAATTCATTTGTATAAGCAATCACAGAGTTTTATCTCCTATAAATGCACGACTTTATTGGTGCTTTATATAGGTCGTTGGTTGCCCGACACGAACAAAAGAAATTTGAAAATGATCCTTGGGTCCGGATCAATAATATCGAAAACCTGACATTGCTACAAACAAAAACTGCTTAAGGAAAAATAGTGCTATCGGCGGGTTTATCTCGGTAAATCCTGTTTAATATTAATATTGTCCGTTGATTTTCGATTCTATTATCTATATACTATACAAAAGAATAAATAATACCTCATTTTCTTTTCTCTTATGAAAACCAGACTATGATCGATAATAAATTACAATTGTATTCGATGATCGGCGCAACCGTTCATATTAAATTATATAATGTCGGTGATGATGCTGAAACAAGATGATGCTGAAACGTGGGGTCTCAATTTAGAAATATAAACCCTACTAAATCCACCTATATTTTTTTATTATAAACACCAGCTCTAAACCCTAACTTAACTACAAAAAAAA